TTAGAGTTGCAGGTCAGAGGCCTGCAGCGGCAGGCGGGGAACGTTGGAGTCCTCCGTCACTGAAGCAAGCAAGCCTCATGTTAGTTTCAAGCTCCCTGGCTGCCGGCTACCATCTTGGCTGGCAGTTAATTTGCATATTGCCCTGATTAGCCAATGGGAAGGGTAGCGGTTGTACGCTAATTACCATGTTTCTCTTTTATTAGATAGGACTAGAGGCTCGGTGCACAAAAATTTGTGCACTGGGGGGGGGGTCCCCTCAGCTGGGCCTATGCCCTCTTGCAGTCTGGGACCCCTCGGAGGATGTCCATCTGCTGGCTTGGGCCCGCTCCCTGGGGGAATGGGCCCAAGCTGGCAGTCAGACATACCTCTGGCAGCCCAGCAGCCCTTGGGGATGTCCACTTACCAGCGGGGAGCAGACCTAACCTGCAGTCGGACATCCTGATTGCTGCTGAGGAGGCGAGAGAGGCTCCTGCCATTACCGCTGTGCTAGCAGCCATCAGCCTGGCTTGTGGCTGAGCAGACCTCCGCCTGTGGGAGTGCACTGACCACCAGTCGCGGACAGCTCCTGCATTGAGCATCTGCCCCTGGTGGTCAGTGTGTGTCATAATGACCAGTCATTCCCAGTCGTTCTGCTATTAGGGTCAATTTCCATATTACCCTTTTATTATATGGGACTAGAGGCCCGGTGCACGAAATTCATGCACTGGGGGGTGGGGTTCCCTCAGCCCAGCCTGCCCCTCTCACAGTCCGGGAGCCCTCAGTAGATGTCCTACTGATGGCCACTGTCTGGCAGCAGAGGCTTGGAGCAGGCGTCCCGTGTGTGTGTGTGTGTGTGTGTGTGTGTGTGTGTGTGTGTGTGTGTGTATGTGTCTGTCTGTCTGCTAGGGCCTGCCCCCAGCCGCACCACATAGGCTCAAAGCAGTTGCCGTGTGTGTGTGTGTGTGTGTGTGTGTGTGTGTGTCCCCACTGGGGGTCTTCCCCCAGCCACATTGGAGGCTCAGAGCAGGCACTGTGTGTGTGTGTGTGTGTGTGTGTGTGTGTGTGTGTGTGTGTGTCTGCTGGGGGCCTGCCCCTGGCCACACCATGGAGGCTTGGAGCAGGAGCCCCTCTGTGTTGATCTCTCAGGCTCCTGGCCTCCACTGCATGTTGTACTCTCCCTTGAACTGGCCAGGATGGGGGTGCTGCTTGCAAGCCGGGCTTTCCTGCTCCCGGATCGCCATGGCGACCGGGGAGCAGGCCCAGCTGGGGGCTGCCCACAGGCTGGGTTTTCCCGCTCCCAGGTCTCCATGGCAACCGAGGAGCAGGCCCAGCTTGGGGCTGCCCGCAAGCCAGGCTTGCTTTCCTGCTCCCGGATCACCATTGCGACCAGGGAGCAGGGAAAGTTTGGGGCTGCCCGCAGGCCAGCCTTGCTTTCCTGCTCCCGGATCCTTATGGCGACCGGGGAGAAGGCGCAGCGGGGGGCTGCCCGCAGGCCAGGCTTGCTTTCCTGCTCCCAGATTACCAATGGCAACTGGGGAGCAGGCAAAGTTTGGGGCTGCCCTCAGGCCGGGCTTGCTTTCCTGCTCCCCGATCAGGCACAGCTGGGGGCTGCCTACAGGCTGCACTTTTCTACTTACCGATGGCCGGATCACCACAGCGACCCAGGGCCCAGTGGCACTTTCCTGTTCTCCAATAGTCATAGGGTCCTGGCTGGGGGCAGGGCTTAGCAGTGAGGGACTTAGGCAGCACGAGGGTCCCGGCTGGAGGCTCAGGTGGCACACAGGGGTCCCGGCTGGGGGCGGGGCTTATGCCCCGCTGCCCAGGGCTGCACATGGGGCCCGGATGGCAGCTCACGCTGTCCCACCCTGCCTGTAGTATAGGATAGAGGCCTGGTGCACAGGTGGGGGCTGGCTGGTTTGCCCTGAAGGGTGTCCCGGATCAGGGTGGGGGTCCCGCTTGGGTGCCTGACCAGCCTGGATGACGGGCTGAAGGCTGTTTGCAGCTGGTCACACCCCCTTCAGGGTGGGGGTCCCCACTGGGGTGCCTGGCCAGTCTGGGTGAGGGCCTGAGAGCCATTTTCAGGCTGGAGGGCAACTTAGGCTCCCAGCCTCTCCTTTTTTTTTCCATTTTTTAATTCTGGGATTTATTTACCTTCTATAGCTGTCACTGGAGCTGAGAGCCGGCTCCAGCTCTGAGGGCTGAAAGCAGGTTTCTGGGTCTGTTTGGCTTCTATAATTGAAACTCTGTTGCCATCACAGCAGCTCTAAGCTCTGAGGCCGAAGTTGGCTGAAAGCAGGTCTCTGGAGCTTGTTTAGCTTCTATAATTGCTACATAGTTGCTTAGAGTGCAGCTCAGAGGCTGGCAGCAGCTGGCCAGGAACATTGGCTTCCTCCGTCACTGGAGCAAGCAAGCCTCCTGTTCGCTTCAGCTGCGTGGCTGCCGGCCGCCATCTTGGTTGGCAGTTAATTTATCCTGCTGATTAGCCAATGGGAAGGGTGTCGGGGTTATGATCAATTTGCTTGTTTCTCTTTTATTAGATAGGATAGAGGCCTGGTGCACAGGTGGCAGCTGGCTGGTTTTCCCTGAAGGGTGTCCTGGATCAGAGTGGGGGTCCTGCTGGGATGCCTGGCCAGCCTGGGTGAGGGGCTGATGGCTGTTTGCAGGCTGGTCAAGCCCCCCCAGTGGGGACCCTCACCCCATGGAGGTTTGGCCAGCCTGTGTGAGAAGCTGATGGCTGTTTTCAGGCTGGCCACACCCCCTTTAGGGTGGGGGGTCCCCACTGGGGTGCCTGGCCAGTCTGGTTGAGGGGCTGAGGGCTGTTTTCAGGCTGGCCAAGCCCCTCCAGCAACAGAAGCTCCCAGCCTCTCCTTTTTTTCTTTTCTTTTCTTTTTATTCTGGGATTTATTTACCTTCTATAATTGAAACTTTGTTGCTTTGAGTGGAGCTCAGAGCTGGCCAGGGCGGGTGGGAGGGAAGCCTCCTGCTCGCTCCAGCTCCGTGGTTGCTGGCTGCCATCTTGGTTAGGTTAATTTGCATATAGTCACTCTGATTGGCTGGTGGGCGTGACTTAATGCATAGCGAAGGTGTGGTCAATTTGCATGTTTGTCTTTTATTAGTGTAGATATAGATATCATTGGCTTGGTATTTAATATATCCATATACCATTGGACTGATATTTGATATAGCAGCAATTCATTGTCCTAATACTTCCCTGCAAGAGAGACTGAGAAATATTGTTGGGCACTCTGCTCCTCAGAACAGACTCAGAGTTCCTATTATTAAAGAAGAGAAGAATAACAACTACAGGTTAGGCAACTAACAGCCTCTGGCATAGTAAGCATTACTCAATGCCCATTATCAGCACTTTGGCTATTGCAAATTACTTTATCATGAGGTTCTATAAAATGGCTCAATACATTGAACAGCTAATCCTAGGATAATTAGTCATTTGCCTCTTCTGCAGGCTTTGCACAGGTTTAATACACATGAATGATGGAAAGAAATCTACATCCTTACACAGTACCTCTGGCATGTTCAACAAGCTTGGGCACTATACCAGGGGCCAGATATTTGATTATCATGGGGACTGATTTTTGTGGCCTCTGCAACTTGGTTTCACCATCAGTCCATTTGTTCTAAAGTCTCAGATCCATGCTTATTAACAAGATGAAAAAAGAGAATGCCATGTTAATTCTCTATCCATCTGCTGGAGTGCTGACATGGCACCAAAAAATTAAAGTAATTGTGCTTCTTAAAAAACACACCTAGACATGATAGACATGAGGATCCTGTCCTTATCTTGGTGCTCATGCTCTCTCTCTCTCTCTCTCAACTGCTTCATTACTAAGCAGGAATTCTCATTTGGAATCTTCATTCTCATTAGGAGTCTGCATTTGGTTTCACAGATGCTGATGTTGAGGACATCGTGTCTAATAGGACTTGGTGGCCTGGATTTCAGTTATATTCTCACCCATGCTGCTTTTGTACTGACTACTCAGATGAGCTTTGTCTGGAGTTGACTTTGACTTGGTGGTACTTGAGATCAGACAGCCCCATCTTCTGGTTCATTATTGCTGACTTCTTAAGCCTGGGGCCCATCCTCCTAGCTGCACAGGCTGAAGCTGACTGTTGAAACTGGACTTTGAACATTTTGGTATGAATATTTTTTCTTCACTAGCTATGAGTGATTATGTGATGAGAAAGGAAGGCAGCGTATCCACGGTATCAGTGGAATATCAGGGCCAGATCAAGGAATCTTACTAGTAGTCATCAAAAAGATTAAAGCAAAGATAAAAACAACCACCACCCTAGAAACAAGAACAGTTGGGTGACAGGTTGGTTCACTAAAGGTCAGGTTAGAGGGAGAAGAGTCAAAGGTCAGGGAACGTAGGGGTCTTTTGGAGCTGAAGTGAAGAACAATAACATATAACCCAAATCAGAGCTCCATGAAGCTCCATGTAGAGTGGACTAAAAGCTATTAGCACAACAGTGTAAAGTATTTGCAGTCCTAAATCAATATTAGCTTGATGTTTATTTTCCTAGTTCTAGAAAGTGCATTTGGTTTGGGACTAGATAGGTATTTGTTAATTCAGTGCTCAGATTTTCTCTATCATATTCTCTTTATTTCAAAGTTCCTAGCATTGCAGAACCTTTCCTTTGAAGAGTTGATTTGTGGAGTACTTCTGTTAATATGTGTGGTAAGTATTCACTTCTTTTATAATTTAGATAGGGCTTATTTAAGCACCAGAGAGATTCTTTCATTTCCTTGAAACTAATTTCAAAGTCTTAAGCTAAAACACTACAAACAGTACCAAGTATTCCACCTTTTGTCTTAAGAATGCTGACATACTTCTAATTTGGCCAATTTCTGATTCCAAGATTGGATCCTACTAATGGCCATTAGGTGTAATGAAAACCTCAAAATTTAAGGCCTCCACTACTACATGCCCTATTGTGAGATACCAATTAAAAGGTAAAATGGCCCTTCAGAACTTTAAGCAGGAATTGGAACAGTATTTCACATTTTTTAAAAAAAATCCCTTGGCTGGTGAGGCTCAGTTATTTGGGTGTCATCCCATGCACCTGACCGCTTGATTCCTGGTCAGGGCATGTGTCCCGTTGCAGGTGATGTTTTTCTCTCTCTCTACCTTCCACTCTCTCTAAATATCAATTTATAAAAAAAAAGATGTAAGAGGCAGGATTATAGAACAACAACAAATCCTCTGAATACCAAATTTAAAAAGGTAACAAAGAACTATTATATTGATACCCCCACTAGTTTTATTTACCTCTGTACTCAAAAATCTGTTAAAATTCTGAATTCTAGTCTCATCTTGCTGACATTGCCAGAATATCTTAGAGAAATATTTGATCCTCAATTTATATTTAACAAAGCTGTAAATGAAAGATTTAGAACTCTGAGACAGTCACCAGCCAAAAGGTTATCAATAATCCCTTTTATTTTCTATGTAACATTAAATATTATCAGTTATTATCTACTTCAATAGATTCTAGAGCAGCTGTGGGCAAACTACGGCCTGCGGGCCGGATCTGGCCCTTTTGAAATGAATAAAACTAAAAAAGAAAAAGCCCGTACCCTTTTATGTAATGATGTTTACTTTGAATTTATATTAGTTCACACAAACACTCCATCCATGCTTTTGTTCCGGCCCTCCGGTCCAGTTTAAGAACCCATTGTGGCCCTCGAGTCAAAAAGTTTGCCCACCCCTGTTCTAGAGTGTTTTTCTTCATGTGGCTTCAGAAGTCCACACATGGAAATCCTTCATCTGCTCTAAGAAAGATGGGCCAAGATCAACAGGGACATTAGCAAGTTGGGGTTCACCTTAAGCAAATGCCTAAAGTTATTTTATTTGGTAAAATAAAAATATTGGGCTGGGCCTAGGGAACGAAGATTTTGGAGAGTCAAGACTTAAAAGTTCAGCAATGTGGGATCACATCAAGCTAAACCTTTATATTCAGGGACACTTCAATTGAGGAGCAATTTTGCATCCTGCATAAGACAAAGATGGTAGAAGGGTCATTTGGAAAGAATGGCCTAACAGTAATATGCAAAATGTAACCAACAGCTATTGATATTAACCAAATATTGAGGTGCTTGTTTACTTTTCTAGCCTCTTGGTGGTGGGTTCTGTTTTATGAGATGTGGACAGAAGTGATGGCCATTAAAAATATTCTACAAAATCCTCCAGCTTTCTCTTGACTTTGGAGTAGACAGACTCACATCATGTTTTATGTGAGAAATGAATCTTTGTTTATTGGGGGGGTGGGGGGGGTTTACTTGTGATGACATCATAGCATAACTCTCTTCAATGGTGAGATTGGAAGAATTGGAACCAGAAAGTGACTACTGCAGTAATGGGACCTTTTGATGATAAAGGTGTAGGCTAGACTGAAAGAATTCAAAGAAAGGATGTGAATCTATTAGGTGTTTTAAATGGAACTGGGTAAGAAGAAAAGTCATTCATTCAGATAAATATTTATTGGGCACCTATTATTTGCAAGGCACTGTGAGAGCTACAAAGTGCTTATAATTTAGCTAAGTAGATAATACATGTATATAAATTATAAAACCAACTTTATACCATAATGGTGAAAGGAATGGATTTTGAAGGTAGACCTGTTCAAGAACTGGCCTCACCTTTTACTAGCTGTTACCTTGGGCAATTTATTTAACCCCTCCAAACTCCAGTTTGCTCACCTGTAAAATTCAGGTAGTAAGAGTACCTACTTAATAGGGTTTGTTTTTTTAATGAATATGTTTTTATTGATTTCAGAGAGAATAAGGGAGCAGGAGAGATGGAAACATCAAGGATGAGAATCATTGATTGGCTGCCTCCTGCACGCTCCCTACTGGGGATCGAGCCCACAACCCAGGCATGTACCTTGACCAGGAATCTAACCATGGCCTCCTGGTTCATAGGTCGAGGTCACCCACTGAGTCACACCGGATAGGATTATTTGAGAGGACCAAATAATCTCCTTGCAAAACTTGTAGTTGAGTGCTTACCCCATAATAAGTGCTCAATAAGTGCTAGCTATTCGTAGTAGCAGTATTAAAGATATCTAAAAGTTGGGACACACAAAAAGATCAGTGTGCAAAAAAGCTTCAAGAGAGAGGGACTAACAGCTATAAAATAACTATTTGAGTAAATCAGTCCTGCTCTGATATAATTTTGTCTTTCCCTTCCTGTTATAGCCTCCAGTTATTTAAAGTGCTGGGATACCAGGGGACTCAGATAAGAGGTGTGTCTGAGGATCACCTCCTAACATTTATCCTATTGTCTGAGAAACTTCTGCAAAATGTTGACTCTTTACAATTGCACCCTAATTTCCAGCATCCCACATCTGTTCTATAACACGGTATATAGTTTTTATTCAAACACTGTGGTAGCAGAGGCAGGAAAAGAGAGCAGTAGCCAGAATAGGTAGAATGATTAATTGATCAGTTTAAGATGAGGAAGACCTATTTTAAGTTTTCATGGAGGTCCTTTGACTAAAAATTTCACTCAATTCAGTCTATTCCCTGTTTGGCATAGCGCCGTTGATGTTGAATAACTGATGATTTAGAACTAAACACTTTCCCACATACGCTGCATTCAAAGGGTTTCTCTCCTGTATGAACCCTCTGATGTCGTGTAAGCCGGCTTCTCTGGCTAAAGGCTTTCCCGCATTCACTGCATTCATAGGGCTTGTCTCCAGTGTGAATCTTCTGATGCTGTGTAAGGGATGAGCGGTCAAAAAACGCTTTCCCACACTCACTGCACTGGAAGTGAGGCTCTCCAGCATGAGCTTTTTGATGTCTGTTCAGTGATGAGATACCATAAAAGGCTTTCCCACACTCAGTACATTCATACGGCTTCCGGCCGGTATGGATGAGCTGGTGTCTAGTAAGAATGCTTTTCTGGCTGAAGGCTTTCCCACACTGACTACATTCATAAGGAGTTTCTCCAGTATGAATTCTCTGGTGTCGAGTGAGGGATGAACGGTCAAAGAAGGCTTTCCCACACTCGCTGCATTTAAATGGTTTCTCTCCGGTGTGAATTCGCTGATGTACAGTTAGGGATGAACGGTCAAAAAAGGCTTTTCCACATGTGCTACATTCGTAGGGGCTCTCCCCAGTGTGAGACATCAAGTGTCTGCTGAGACTGCACCTACGACTGAAAGCTTTCCCACACTCACGGCATTTAAAGGGCTTCTCTCCAGTGTGAACTCGCTGATGTACAGTTAGAGCTGAACGGTTGTAAAAAGCTTTCCCACACTCATGACAGTCATAGGGCTTCTCTCCCGTGTGAGTCTTCTGATGGCGGATAAGGGATGAGTGGTCAAAAAAGGTCTTCCCACAATCACTGCATTCCTGGTCTCTGTCTTTAGTGAGAATTTTCTTGGGACGGGTTAACCCTTGCTGCAAGCTTTCCTCCTGGGAAAAGGATTTCTTACAAGTCTCCACTATAGGACTTTCCTTCTCTGTTTCCAATCCACCTTCTAGTGCATGAACTTCCAATTTAGTACACAGAGGACTTTTTCTTCCAAGCTTTTCCATTGACATTCCTTCTGACTTTTCTTCTGAATCAATTTGAATCTCACCTTGAATCTCAGGCTTTGTCTCCCAGTCTGTAATGGACAGAAAACAGAGATGCAGTTTTTTTCCTGGGATAGAAAATATTACAGCAGAAAGAAGAGGTACTATGATAAATCTGAAAAGTAATATGGTCACTGCATTGCTTGCTCCGCAAATAGCTACACAGTTTAGGTAAAGACTGAGACTTGGGACTACAGAAGAAGGCAGGGAATAGAACTGATGTTGGACATCTCAGAAAAGAATTTCCATGGAGCAGGCCCAGGGTAATTATGAGAGTATGCAAAGTGGAAAGGATGGTGAGAAATAGGAATATCAAATCGTGAATAGGCAACATGACAGATCGGAGGGTAGCATTGGTGAAAAAAGAGAAATAATACCAGCCCCAACCAGGTGGCTCAGTTGGTTGGAGTGTTATCCTGTGCACCCAAAAGGTGGCAGGCTCAATTCTGGTCAGCACACATACCTAGGTTGCAGGTTCCATCCCTGGTCAGGGCACATATGGGAGACAACTGATCAATGTTTCTCTCTCACATCAGTATTTCTCTCTCTCTCTCTCTCTCTCTCTCTCTCTCTCTCTCTCTCTCTCTCTCAAATCAGTAAACATATCCTTAGGCGAGGATTCTTTTTTTTTAAAAAGATGAATAATAGCTTTAGATGTCAAAAAATTGAAACCTGGTGGGTGATAGAGAATAGCACTAGCCTGGCCAGTGTGGCTCAATGGTTGAGCACCAACGTATGAATCAGGGATCATGGTTTGATTCCCAGTCAGGGCACATGCCTGGGTTGTGGACTCAATCCTTAGTAGGGGGCGTGCAGGAGGCAGCCCAACAGTGATTCTCTCTTATCACTGATGTTTCTATCTTTCTCCCTTCCTCTCTGAAAATCAATAAAAAAATATATTTTTAAAAAGAGAGAATAGCACGAAAGCAGAAGATCTGAATTGGAGAAAAAGATGATAGCCAATGCTCCCTCTCACAAACCCCCAAATAACCACAAAACAAAACAAACTGCCCTACCCTGCTCATATACAGTTACCTAGAGAAATGTTCTCTGGCCATCTTCCTTCATCAGGTCCATGAAGATCAATTATCCAAGGTTTATCCTCTCTGTTAAACTGGAAAATCACATCAGGTTGAGGAACTGGAAGTCCTGCTCATGGAGAAACAAGCCAGATATGTGACAAATATACACAACCACTCCAAAACTTCATCACGGCCTCTAGGACTTTCAGGGAGAAAACACAGAAGGCAGACCATGTGTGCCAAGAATGCAGAATACAAAGTAATTCAGAAAATGCAGGGACATCTAGATAGAGGTCAACACTAAGGTTCTAAAAAGGATCAAGTTGCACTTGGTCAAGAAGTTGATAAAATCCCCTTGAATGAATGTGTTTATTCTTTCTCCAGAGGTACATGGGCTTTAGCACTGGTAGGATGGGTGGAAACAGTCCTTGGCTCAGGGAAGCTAAAAATGAAGACAGATCATCTTGAGTAAAAACGTGTAATGAAAGTGAATCTTTATTTGTTTATCCTTTAGTGATATGCTTTTATTTAAATAAGTCGGTCATGTTCATTGTAGGAAAATTAGAGGTATGTACTTTGTATTCTTGTTTTAAAATTTCTATTCATTTCAGTAGAGATATACTCTGTTAAAAACTGCATAATGAAATAATGTTGATTTGTAAACTTGGTATTTTCACATAACAATAAATTTAAAAATTATTTTATTTCAATTAAGCACAGATCTACCTCACCATTTTAATGGCTACCCGATACTATATTGTATGGAATAATATAATTATTTAATCTCCTGCTGACAGATATTTCAGACTGTTTTTAATGTTTTTCTATTAAAAAACACACACAATATGATCAACATGTATGTATAGCATGGGCTGCTAATCCTATTATTTACTTGGGACAAATTTCTAGAAGTGAAACTATCCATTTTTTGTTTGTTTGTTTACTCCTCACTTACAGATATTTTTCCATTGATTTCTAGAGAGAGTGGAAGGGAGGGGAGGAGGGGAAGAGAGAGATGGACAGGAGGGAGGAGAGGGAGAGAGAAATCACCGTGAGAAAGACACAGCAATTGGTTGCCTCTGAAACTTGCCCCCACAGGAGCCGGAGAACCTGCAACTGAGGTAACTGCTTTTTTTTTTTTTCTGTCCTGAACAAGGCACCTGCCCTTGATGGGGAATCGAACCCATAATAGTTCGGTCTGTGGGCCGATGCTCCAGGCAGGGCTGAACTTACCCATTTTTGGTTATATAGATTCCACTCCTAGAAATAGTCTTGAGGTCTAAACTTCCTTTGCATTGGACCCCCAACTTGGGAAAGAGAAGCACTTTCTTACTGGACCCTAGGATCATGTATCCAGTTGTATGCTGATTCTCTGCTGACAAAGAAGCCACATCCATCACCTCCCTGTGGCTTCTGATCTGATGAATTCTATATTCTCGAGAATTTCATCCCACCAAAGCCTCTGATAAAGGCTTAGCAGTCTCTCTTAATACTTTATGAGCACTATTCTGTTTTCTATATTTAGCCTGTTTAAGCTAATCCAGGGGGTGTTACACTTGCTTTTTTGAGCTGCCTTGCATGAATCCTGCAATTTGACTCCTCTTATTAACACCTGCTGTTGATTGTAAGCCTGCTTCTGAATCTGTGCATCTATCAGCCTCTTATTCTGGAAGCTCCTGAGATGTTCTCATCACCTGCAGGAGCCCAACTTTACTTCTCAAGAATACCTGACATCAGCAGCAATTCTTCACTTTCCCTTTGTCATGAAAGTCTCTAATTGCAGAGTCCCATCTGTGGGCATCTAAAATGCACTTAAGATAAATATTCAAAACCAAAAACATTTCTAGTGACCTACTCTGAGGCACAACCTTGTATTCCCACCCCACGCCACCCCCACCCTCTTTTAAAGTGAAACATGCCTCTCCTCTGCTTCTCTAAGGAGAACTTTTCCTTCAATAAGATGGCTCCTCGCCCCACCCTTACTCTGGATGGAGCTGAGTAAGTGACCTGACTGATGAGCTGGGGGAAGAGCTTGGCATAAATAACTCGGCCTCTTGTTTGCCCCTTCTGGAGAGCCAGCTCCCTGCTTATGGTTCAAGGAGCAAGCCTGTCCAATGCTGGGGTTCAGATTAGGAAGCCCACTGTCAAGGTACACTTAAGCCACATCCTCCTACTCTTCTATCTTGTCTCTCAGTGGTTCAGAACTCAGGTGGGAGAAGAGGGATCAATTTATTAGCCCCTCAATCCATTTTAGCACAGACTTCTGGGAAGCGCTCCTTACCCAGTGAGATGATGCTCTGATAGTTCTCCAGCATCACCTCCTTGTAGAGGTCCCTCTGAATAGGGATCAGATGCCTCCACTCTTCATCTGTGAAAATCACGGCCACATCCATGAATGTCACTGACTCCTGGAAACACAATCACATTCTCCCTTACTCATAACCCTTCATTTTGCACGGACCAGATAAAACTGTCATAAAGACAGCTCTGGAGGTGGTGAAGGTGGGGAAGGAAGTGGTTCTGACAAAACAGGGCGTTGGCGCCCTTGGGGAAAGTGGCATCATTCCCCTTGGTCGTAATCCCACGCCACCATAGTCACAGCTGAGCTCTGAGTATGGAGGCTGTTTTTGAGACTTACAGAAAACTTGCGAGAAAGAAACAAAGAATTCCCATGGACCCTTCACCCAGCTTACCCAAATGTTAGTATCTTCCATATTCGCATTATCTTCCTGTCTCTCTGGAGAATATATTCCTATATTCTTCCTGAACTTCTTAAGAGTAACTTGCAAACATGATGTCCCTTTACTCATTAATATCTTAGTATATATATATATTTTGTAAAAACAAGGGTACTCTCTTGTATAATCACAGTATAATTATAAAAATCAACAAAATAGCATTGACTTTTTACTATTATCTAGTCTACAACTTTATTCAAATTCCACCCATGGTCTTTTTTTTTTAACATATCCTTAAAACATTGATATTGATTAGATCATCTTTAGGATCCCTCTCATTTTATTCTAATGTCCTGTGATTCTGTTAGACTGCATCCTTACCCCACATCCTAAAACCCCAGATGAGTCTTCAGTGTGTCCGCAAAAGTTTTGAGCCAGAGCATGTAATTCAAGACCCTACGCCTTTGCATGAGAAGGGGGCAAGCACTTGACTGTGCCCACCACATGCTCCTCAGGACTCATGACCTCACTGAGGTGCTCTCATTCCCCAGCACTCTCTGGACTGTTTGGGGCCTGCTTTTAGTCCATACAAAGAGAAGTCAGGACTAAACTGGCCCATTGTTCCCCAAACCTTCCAATCAGAATCATATAATCATTTTTTAGGCAAAATCACTTAGAGCAAAGGCCACAGGGGCTGTGTGTCTGATGACAGGCTAATGGGAGCACAGCATGAGCTCAAGGCAAGAAAAGGTCACTGAGGGACACCACGAATCAAATGGGAGGAAAGCACTCCTTATGGAGCCCTTCATCCACCTGGTGGGTCTGATAAAAAAAGCTCCAGGACAGAGAAAGAGAAGGGGTTACATTCTGGAGATAAAGCATTTCAAAAACAGAGAAGTCTACATCACCTGGCACCTGGCAGTTGGAGCCACAGCAGCTGTTCCCTCCTGGGTGCTCTCCATTAGGAAAGGGCAGAGTCCTAAGGAAGTAAAGGTGTGGGATGAGAAAGACAGTGTGAGAAAGACCATCTTGTTTGTAGTTTTCTGATCCAGGAAGCAAGAAATCTCCATATACCAGTAAGTTATATATTCATCCTCAACTTAATACCCTACACAAAGGGAAGGAAAGTAAAGCAAGGCCAGGGGCACGCCCCTCCTGCCACAGAACCAGAGCAAAAGGCATGGATATTGCTATTTAGGACACAATATGGTGCTTGTTTTACCATAATCCTAGAGGCAGAGTTTTGTTCCTGTGTGTGAAAAACAGATGAAGGCTCACACTGTACTTATAAAGTCACGTTCAATATTGCCTGGAGTGGTGCCTGGCTGGTGTGGCTCAGTGGTTGTGTGTCCACCTATGAACCAGGTCATGGTTTGATTCCCGGTCGGGCACATGCCAGGGTTTTGGGTGCGATCCCCAGTAGGGGGTAAGCACAAGGCAGCCGATCAATGATTCTCTCATCATTGATGTTTCTATCTCTCTCTCCCTCTCCCTTCCTCTCTGAAATCAATAAAAATATTAAATATATACATATATATATTACCCTGAATGGTTACTGGATAAAGTGCATAAGAAATTTTACAAATGAGCACGTGGATAACATATGTCAAGTAAATACCCTAAGCCTCTTCAAGGGAAAAATACCCTATTTATGACCCTGAGCTCAAGGATGTGGGCAGCCACGTTGAGCAGGTACAGGCTGACTAGAAGACTGAAATGTGATCTGACTAGAAGAGATGACATCCTTCCTCATGAATGTGAACTACGAAATGTCAGGACAAGTGGGTGCTGAACTGAACGGATGTGATGGACAGAAGGAGCTATGAGGATTAGGGGAGCCAAAGTTATCAGGAAGCAGAAGCCATGAGTGCGTTGGAGGCAGGACTAGACAGAGTCAGGGGGAAGAGCAGCTCAGTCACGTTAGTGATAAAGCACTGAAGCAAAGACCCAAGAATTCCTAGCCCGGAAGTACCACCCCTGGGCTCCAATTTGCATAGAGTCCAGCCTTATTTATTCTTGGATGTCCATAAGACCCCGACCTCTTAGGCTTTGTGTGAACCCTTACCACTACTCTCTTTAGCTAGTATGTCTCAGTTTCTTATTAAAACAGTGAAATCAAACATTGCTGGGACTTGAGAGTGGGATGGGGAGAGAGTGTGGTCCTGCGAAGGAGGAAGAGGTATGGCTTGCTGACTGCTCTCCTGCAAGTATGTTAACTGATCCTTATTTTTCATTCATCCAGACAACATGTATCAGCCCTAACTATTGATACCAAGCCCCCAAACCATATGACACTTTCCTTGTCCTTTAAAAGCTTATAGCCTAGCACACAGGACAAACAAATAACCAAAATAACATTTCACTGCAGAAAGGCTAAGTGCTTTAAAGAGATATGCACAGCAAACTATGAGGGCACATCAGAGGCTTGCCTAACCCAGATGGAGGGAGGGAGGAACAGGGCAGGTTTCTGGGCAGAAATGGGATCTAAGATAAGCCGTGATTTGTGGGAGAAGATTCTAGGCAGGAAAAACACCTAGTTTTCAAAAACAAGGGGGCAGGTCTTTACATGGAAAGGACTGACAGCTGTAACTACTTTAGAATGGCAGGTGTCTCGCTGCAAGCAGAGCTGTGGGAAAGGAAGAGGATGGAGAAGCAGCCAGCAGCCAGCTGGATCCAGGAGAGCTTTGTATGGTCCCTTTTCTACACATGGCATGGGGGTCACTGAAGGATTTAAGCATGGAGCGTCATCATTAGATTTTAGAAAGATCATTGCAAATTGTATCAAGGGCCTGGAAATATACATAGTCTTTGATCCGGCAATTCTTCCCCAGTTTATCCTAAGGAAATAAGAATAAATGCTAAGTTTTGTCTTAACCATCATTTGGTGCTATGTGTGGAAACTTTCTAAGCATTTAATCCTTACAATAATACAGAAAAAAATTTGAAATATCCTAAATTTCTAAATAGGAAATTTGATTAATTTATGATCCAGCTCATCTATACGGTGGAACACCATTAAACATCATATTAATAACTAGCATATTTTTTAGCATTTGCTACTGACCAGGTACTGTGCTATCTTTTAATGAAAATAAGTCATTATAGGACAGAGGTTAAAAACTGCTAGACAGACCTGGGTTCAAATTTTACCTCAGCCTTTTACAAAGCCTAAATTTCCTAAACCGCAACACAGTACCTACCTTATTGATTTATGGGGATGAAATGAAACTATCATCATAAGTAGTATTCTGTACAGTGCCATTCCTGGATATCAGTGTTTCTGGAGAAAACGCTCTTCAAATTCTTATTCTATACCTTCAAATGAGCCCTTGTCTAAAAGCTTTTACTGTTCCTGCCCTAGCTCCATAGCTACTCCAACCTTCAATTTTAGTGGAACACTGTCTTTTACTACACTGAGCTTCACAAGAGCGAGTGCCAAGGGAGGCAGAACCATGAGGGAGAAAGCAACCACAGACCTGGAATTATTGATTACTTATGCTTACTTCATGGAATAGTTGTAAATAGTGAGACAATTAATGTAAAGCATTTATCTTACAGCTTGTTCAATTAATGAAAGCTCCTTTCCTTTCTACTGCCCAATACAAACCCATTCATCCTACCATTCAATGAATATTATGCACTACCCGTGGTCAGCAAACTGCGGCTCGCGAGCCACATGCAGCTCTTTGGCCCCTTGAGTGTGGCTCTTCCTAAGCCTTAGGATTACCCTAATTAAGTTAATAACAATGTACCTACCTATATAGTTTTAAGTTTAAAAAATTTGGCTCTCAAAAGAAATTTCAATCGTTGTACTGTTGATATTTGGCTCTGTTGACTAATGAGTTTGCCGACCACTGCACTACGCAGAAGGGGAGTGAGGTCAACAAAACAGAAATGTCTGTCTCTAGGACTTTACCTTAGTATCTCACAACTGTGTCCTATGTTATTTTCCACTATTGTTCTTGCACAGAATCAGCTCCCTGCATTGCCCAGTTTCTCTTTCTCCAACATCTCCCATCTCTCCAGTACCTTCTTCCCATATGTTCATACAGATACAGTCCTCCTCTATCTGAAACGATCTTCACTGAATCCCATGGCTTCCCTCTAGCAAAATAGTTCTCATTTAGGTTTTCCTTTCATGACCAAACTTCTTGGATGAGTAACATATACCTATCTACTACACATCACCACCACCTGTTCTTCTTCTTTCCTTTTATTTATTTTTTTTTTTTGGGGGGGGGTGGTAATCCTTACCAGAGGACTTTTTCCCCCCATAGATTTTTCTTAGAGTGGGAGAGAAGGGGAAAGAGAAGTAGAGGGAGAAAAGGGAGAGACACATCTATTGATTGCCTCCCGCAGTGCCCGATTGGGGTCGGGGATTGAACCTGCAATCCAGGTATGTGCCCTTGACTGGGAATTGAATCTGAGGCCCTTCCGTGCACGGGATGACACTATAACTACTTAGCCACATCAGCCAGGGCACCTATTCCTCTTAAATCCTTATTCTGCTCCTGCCACCCTTCACACAACTGAAACTGCATGCTTGAAAATTAACAATGCCTTTCTGAGCTCTAATTCCAATCATCCTTCTCTCCTTGTCTATTTCTCTGCAGCTTTTGATTGTTTTGACAAGTTTCTTCTTCTCTAAGTTGCTGTAGCTGCTCTGATACTGCACTAGCCTGACTTTCTTCCTCCCACTAACACTGCATCTTTCTGTAACTCTTTTTCCCAATCTTGCCCTGGGAACATGGATGCTGGCTGTCTTTATACAATGTTCTTGCTAACCCTCAGTTTAGTCACTAACCTGTCAATCTGAGGTGGGTTCTGGGAAAGAAGGACCGAAGTGGGCGGCACCCTACACGAGTGTCAGCTCCACCCACCTTTAGTAAGCACCCATAATGGGAAGAAGGGGCGAGAGGAGTTGAGTATTTTAATGTGATGACTTTGTGGTCCAGTACCTGTAACTTTTTGCAATGTGGTCTCTGGCTCTGCTTGAGTGACTAAGTAGCTCTGCAGTTTGGACTCTGACTCTGTCTACCTGACAAACTGCACTCCCTGTATTGTCTGTTTAATCGCTACCTGTTTGACAAGTTTGTTTCATGAGCTCCAAGGGAAACCGAGCAATGGTCCTAGTCTTGTGACAGCCCTGCTGCCCATGTCTCATGACCACAAGCGTTGGCCATATCTCCTACCTCTACCTGCTGACCATGGATTAACAGAAACTAGAAAGACCGGTTGCTCTCATCAACCAGAAAAGGTATAGTGTACACTTATGGCTTTGCTCCCCGCGGCAACCAATCCCGTAACGGTCAGCTTCTTGCGGTTTTTCTGCCTTTAAGAACTCTGCCCCACCTCCCCTGCGGTTCATCCCGGAGGCCGGCTCCCTGGTCTGCAAACCACTGCTGAGTAAAACTGTCTTCGGTCTCTCAAAAAGGCCTCCTGAAGTTTTCGTTGACAGAAGGCTCCCACCTTCCAACCTGAAAGTTGGCAGGTGACAGACGTACAGTGTATAGTGTATCCGGGTGTATCTGAGAGAACACGAACACACACGCACACAAACACACGCAGGCTCCGCCGTGTCCCCCAATTCTGCACCCACACCACCGCCCCCAGGGTCTCAGTGTGCTCTCCTCACGCCGGGCGCTCACTCCGCATCAGACGCGTCTCTACAGCCCTCACCTCCGGGACTCGGCGCTCAGGACCCAGGAAAACCGCGCTTCATCAGGTCGGGAAGGCAGAGTCTGCGCAAAGGGCCTGCGCGCACAATCAGAGCGCGGCCTTCGTTCGGACTGCATTTCCCAGAAGTCTCCGCGGCCGGCGCGCTTCAGCATGACGTATGAAACATGCGTCGGCCTGCGCCTCTGAAAGGATCGGCGACCCTGAGGCGTGACTGCGGTAGCCGCAGTGAGAGGCAGCGGGTGTGGGTGCCGAGGCTGTCGTCACCCTGGCAGTGTTGACCACGCGTGGTGGCGCATTCCTCCAGTCGGGAATGTGTCTTTCCTCTGGTTTTCACCGCCCGGGACATCTGGGACACGAGCCTTCTGGCGCTCGGAAGGGGCTTGTTTCTGCTTCAGCTTGTCCGCGGTCAGGAATTTGATTCTGAGATGTGAGCCAGAGAGACACAGAATTTGGTTCCGAGGACGGGGCTGGGCCTGAGGCAGGGTATGTGCACATTCTTGCGCGGAAGAAGAGAAGAGCCGAGGACATAAGTGTATTTGACCGGGGATCTGCCCGACTGGCCAATAGCTGCGGGCACACCAGCCTGCCTTCCTCGGTGCCGCTGGAAAGGGCCCTGGGGGAGGCATCGCAGGGATTCTCAACCTTTGCTGCACGGGAATTGGTAGGGAGCGTACATTCTGATAGAGCACCTGAATTAATCTGAAAAGGAATCCTATTATTTTAAATCTTAGGACACATATACATATGTGAATAGGGGTTTAGGTTTTTCTTAAGTTTCCTTTTCAAGGCCTGTGTGAAACGATTTGAGGAGGTATCTCAGCTGTGAATCCAGCAAGCAGCACCGATAAGCAGGGTCAGGCGGGCCAACCAGGAGTCAAAACATCATCTCATCAACATCATCTCATCGCCTGATGACTAAAGACAATAGTTGACGTCTGCGGACCTCCGGGGCTGCCTCACCCTAGCCCAGTGATGGCGAACCTTTTGAGCTCGGCGTGTCAGCATTTTGAAAAACCCTAACTTAACTCTGGTGCTGTGTCACATAGAGAAATTTTTTGATATTTGCAACCATAGTAAAACAAAGATTTATATTTTTGATATTTATTTTATATATTTAAATGCCATTTTACAAAGAAAAATAAACCAAAAAAATGAGTTCGCGCTTCAGAGGTTCGCCATCACTGCCCTAGCCCCGTCCCCTTTATAATCCTGCACCTGCCGGAAGACAGGATTTGGTGCTTGTAAGCACCCTCTCTTCTTGGTTGGCTAGCCTTCTCAATAAACGCCTAATATGATTCAGCCGTGCCTTTGTTGGACACAGCGACAGGCAGCCCAAGCCCAACCGGGGGTTTCCTGGTAACAGAATCACCTGAAGAGCTGTAGAGATTGAGGCCCAATCTGAGGAGTGAGCATTTGAAAAGATCTCCAGGTGATTTTAATGAGCAGCTAAAACTAAGAACCACTGAGCTAGAGCTTCAGGGAAAACTGATGATCACACTAAGCATATGATAAAATCCTATTTCAGGAACAAGTCTCCCCTTTTAAACAAACAGACTAACAAGCTACTATAGGTAAGGTATTGTCACAACCCCTTGTGACCACTGTTTTGTTCTGTACCTTTAGTTTTGCTTTTTCCAGAGTGTCATATAAACAGGATTATACATTGTGACCTTTAGACTAAAGGCTAGGAAGTATGGAGACACGTCTGAGGTATGGTAAGCAAGCTCCTTTGTTTGAAATAGGGATTCTTGTCAGGAGCAGCAGGAGGTGAGGGCAGACTGAAGAGGGCATTAAACGCCAAACTGAGGGGTGAAAATTTATCCTGTAGGCAGTATGAAGACTTTCAGCGGCAACAGTAGGTGCACAAGAATGGTTAACACAGCAAATATACAATAGAGGAAGGGACCAATTTTAGGCTGAAGACTAGCAACAAAGTTGTTGCAGGCATCCAGGTATATAAAGTGACTTGGGTGGGCGAAACAGAAGGGCATTGGGGAAAAGGTGAGAGAGCAAATTAAACTAATGTAAAATATTTGCTATTTCTGCTCCTGTGAACCTTGGCTATCCGGGAAGAAATACACGTGATTTTTAGCCTTCTAGACTGGCATTCTGATCTCAGCTGTCCAGGTGGCTCCAGTGCATCCCACCTGCCTGCTCCCCTCTGCTTTGGCCAAACTCTTGGACCCCTAGATCCTGCCTGTCTGCATGGATCCACTCTAAACTGGTTCCCTGAATTCAGGGCTCAGCCTCCTCATCTGGACTTTAAATGTCTGAGGGACTGTCCTAGTACAAGCTAACTCTTTTTAATCAAGATGACTCTGATCTATGGTAGCTCCTGTTCTCAACCTAAATTGCAGAGGCAACATGATATGAACCTGAGAGCCAGTAAACTTCGGGTAACTATTACAGTGGAGCTTAGCAGCCACTTGGACCCAAACTGCATGCAAACCACTTCAGGAAGAAGCCTGCACTGAATGGCCTCCTGCACTGTTTCTGCCATCTCTCATAAAGGAGGTCCTGGAATCTTATTTCAACCAGTAGGACTGAGGCTTTCCCTATCCAATTGGAGCTGCATAGCTCCAACCAACATCGATTCTGATCAATCATGTCAGTGCCTTTTGGACCAATCAAACTGAGAGGATTTGGATTTACATGGGAACAGACCAATCAGGGACCAGGGGTGGGACCTTCTGTCTCTCTAACCCAGCTTCTCTCAGGCTCTAGGCAGGCCCTTGTCCTTTCCACCAAAGAAAGGTGGTTGTGTTTCCCTGGCTGGGCTGAACCATGGAGCTGTCTCACTAGAGCAGAGCAGACCATTGAGGAGCAGAGCAGAGCTGTCTAGCTGGTGAGGGGCCTGGCCCCTGGGCTGGCTCACAGCTATGCTGCATCACATTTGAGCTGGGTTTTTTTTGCTAAATAAAATTCCCTTCTTCACCACACTCCAAAATGAGGATTCCTGTTAGGACTGAATTGGTGCCCAGGTCCATCCCTTGATACTATTGATCTACCTTCCAGGCTTCTCTCTTCTGCCTCCTAAGGAAGCCCGGTACCACTATCAGTTGATCAAAGCAGTGGTAGGTCAGCCTGGATTCAAAGGACGTGACACGAATTCCACAACTAGGCAAAGGAATGACATGCAAGCACATGAAGAGAAGGACGTGACGGGGGGCCACCTTCGCAGGCACCCTACCAAACACGAATTATTAATCAGCAACTCTCCCTCCCCAATCAATCCGTGTGCCAGTTCCCCAAAACCCTGCCAGTACTTGAGCGTGATCAACCTCTATCCTTTAAATGGGCCAATTTGATGTTAAAAGTCTACTTAAATGGGCCGCATCATAAGAGGCAGGAGTGAAACCAGTTGTTCAGTTCAGCAAAGAAGAAAATAGTAGTAGATGAAGCAACCATCAATCTTGATCACCTCGGGCTCTAGCTTGTCACTAGTTTTGCTTTTCTGTATTTGAAAAATTTACACTAACTTTGAAAATCGGAGGTTTGTCTGAGCAGGATTCCTAGCTTCCTACAAAACGTCCGTGTATTTAAAACTGAATAAAAACTGTAGCCCAGACTTGGTACACAAGTGTGTGGCCAAACCTGAGAATCAGAACAAAGCGAATGGACTCCAGAGCGCGACTGGAGGGGGTATGAACGGCTGCGCCATACCCCTTGTCTGCCTTACCGCATGGGCTCCATTTAGAACCATTCCCTGCCGCCTGTGTGTCGCCCACCCAGATGCTAAGTCCCCAGGCCCAGCGCGTGCGGGCGGGAGAAGGAGGTCAAAGGCCCGCGCCCGTCGCCTCGGAAACCGCGTGGCCCCCTCACCTCTCGCGAGAGAACGCTGAGCGAGCCCTAGCCCCGCCCTCCATCCGCGGGGACCAGCCCCAACCCCGCCCTTGGGTCCTCAAGTGAGGACCCTGCGAGGCTGTCCGCAGCCGCGCCGGACTCGTTTCTTTCGGTGCCAGTCCGGAAAGTTTCCCACCCCGGGCTGCGCTGCGGCGCTCCCATCTGGCCTCGGGGATTGAGGCCTGGGGAGCAGAGGCCGGCTCTGCGACCCGCTGCAGTCTGGCGGGTGGTGGGGAGGCCTGCCTGGACGAGGCGCTGCGGGGGCTCCAGCATGGCGGCGGCGGTTCGCGCAGCGGGCTGCCTCCCCGCGCTATGCCGCGTGCCCGCGGGTGAGAGCAGGGACACGGAGTGGGGGCCTTGGGCGGAGCGGGGACTACGAGCGGGGAGGCGGCCGGGAGCTCGTCCGGGCGAAGAGGAGCGTGGAGCCGCGCGCGGACCCTGGGCCCCTCACGCCGGCTCCCCACCCAGATGCGCTGTGTGACCTTGCGCGCGCCCTCGCCCTCTCGGTTCCAGGGTCGGTCTGTAGCGCGAGGGTCCAAGGCCCCTTCCAGTTCTCCAGGTCGTTCCTGTCCTGTGTGTGGGCAGAGCGGGGCCGGGAATCGCAGGCAAGTGTCGCCGTAGTGGCGGCGCGACCCACGGTGATGTCGACGCGGGGTTCGAGGTGGAGGGCGGCCCGCAGAGCTTAAGGGAGAGAGGCTGTCCTACAGCTTGAGTCGCGTGGGTGTCCGACTGTTAGATCCCGGGCTGGCGGTACCTTTATTTGAAAGAGGGCTGTTTCGAAGGTCAGTTTACCTGTTGGCTGTTAGCTGTCGTCATCTAGTTCTAGCAGCACCTGAGGGTTATTTCTCTCCATCCTTGACAACGTTTGTTGTCAGCCCTTTTCATTATAGTCATCTTCGTGAGAGTGAATTGATATCTGTGATTTTGATTTGCATTTTTTATGGCTAATGAGCAGATTTTCTCATTGCTTATTGGCCATTTGTATATGGTGTTTTTGGAGACAGTCTTTTAAAATCTTTTCCCATTTTTAAATTGGGCTGTCTTTTTTGAAATGTATTTTCATTGATTTCAAAGAGGAAGGGAGAGGGAGATAGAAACATCAGTGATGAGAATCAGTGACCAGCTGCCTCCTGCACGCCCCCTGCTGGGGATCCCGAGCCGCAACCCCAGCACGTGCCCTTGACCGGAATCCAACCCGGACCCCTCAGTCCGCAGGCCAGCGCTCCAGCCAGGGCTTGTCTTGGTTCTTTTATTCTATAGATATTGATATTACTGTGAATGTGGGCTTGACTGTTTTTAAAGTGCTTTTTCATGGAAAAATGTATCTTAATTTTTTTATTTTTTTTTAACTTTACAGGTCTATTATGGTCCAGGCAGCTTTACCCACACACCATTCAAACAGCTTCGACTTTGGCATTGAAGACTGTTCCCAGTAATGGTGAGATTTGTTTATTTAACTATCTTCTCTTAGATGTAATGCTAGAGTACTTTGTGTGGTTTTTAGAAATGTAAATGAACAAAGCATGTTCTTTGTAATGGAATGCATAGGGTTTAAAGCAGTGGTTCTCAACCTTCCTAATGCCGCGACCCTTTAATAATACAGTTCCTCATGTTGTGGTGACCCCCAACCATAAAATTATTTTCGTTGCTACTTCATAACTGTAATTTTGCTACTTTTATGAATCGTAATGTAAATATCTGATATGCAGGGCTCGATCCCCAGTAGGGGGTATGTGCAGGAGGTGGCCGATCAGTGATTCCTTCTCATCATTGATGTTTCTATCTCTATCTCTCTTTCCCTCTCCCTTACTCTCTGAAATCAATAATAAATAAAAAAGCTCAAGATTTTTGTGACTTAATTTTATTAGGAACAATTAATTATTTGGTGCTGGCAATGTTTCTTCACAGCCATGGAGCATCTAATTCAAAGTTTTTTCCCATCTACCTACAGGCCCTTTGCCATCTCCAGGAACCAGAGACAATCGTCATTTCAGCGGCTTGACCTGTGCGCTACAGACACAATGCTTCATTTCTTCTCCCAGCAACTTGATGGGCCAACAGTATAGATCCTATAGTTTCTTCACGAAATGTACGTAGAGTGGCCGCAAACTTCCCTTTTCATGAAACAGGAAAATGAAAGATGCTTTTATATCTTAATTGTTCTTTATTTTCTACTTCCTTAAATGAATTTTCACTTTAGTGATTAGTATGTGATATACTATTAAAAT